TAATCTCCCAGTTACATGCTAATTTCTGACTTTAACATCCTGCTATTTCTCTCACATTAACACAGCTTATTCAATGCTAAATTCTTCTGTTGATATGTAAACTCCTTTGTCAAGGCGCTCTTCTCCTCCCACCCAGCTTAAAATACGCTGCCAAGCTTAGCAGTGTTCATTGGAGCGCTGTCTTTCAGACAGCTCTGTCTTCACCTGAGGACGGCTGCTTGTGTTGTGGCCGAAACGTCGTGAGAATTTTATTTGATTATGTTTTATTTTTATTATTTCCCTTCTACGTAACTTTACCGAAAGAACCAAGAAGAAAAATAATGCAATGCTTCTCTCATTATTAGTTGAAATGTTGAACCCATTTCAGATTAATGTACTGGTAGAGAGGGTAAATTAAATAATTTACAGCCATTTGTTAATCCAATGCTGGATGGCCTCCCCAAACCATGACCAATCAGGTTCATTGTTTGACCATACTTCACCACGCTGGTCAATCAGTGCGGGTCGGTGAAGGTGCGGTCGACCTGGAACCAGTTCAGGTGTCATCACTCGCCACTGATGTTAGCCGTGGGCTGGGACTTAAACTCGGGTCGCCGTCTTTGTAACGCAGTTCTTCTTCTTCCGTGCGGCTGCTGATGTCGATGCAGAGCAACGACTGCGATGTCACATGCAGGTGGTCAAGTCAAGACGACCGCGTCAGGAGCAGCAGCGGATTGGCATCGCCGTGATGTCTCCTCCGTGCTTGTGGATCGGCCATCGCGGCGTTATGCGTTGTACGCACACCGCTGGAGAGTTTTAAATGTTCCATGTGTGCATCAGCCATCCGCATCTACTGAGATGGTGTGCGCAGTGGATGCGGTACAGGGTGGACCGTGAGCTTCGTGGAAGGTCTTTCGCAAGGTGTTGTGTGTGGGTTCTTTTGAACTCCATTCAGCGCTGTAAGCTTCATCGGGGTGGAATTAGCATTGTTTGAGGTTAATCGCATGGGTCCACACAAGGGCTTGCAGCGTGACTTCAGCGATGACGAGGGATGTTATTGAGGTCCTGATGAATGGGAAGGGGCGACTGTTTTCATCGATTCGCAGGAACTTCCCAGAGGGTTGCAGTGTTGCGTCGGATGGGTGGGGGAGAGGTTTGTGACAGCACGGGCAGCCCCAGGCTGTTGGGGTCGACTTGAGGGTTCCAGCTAATCACCGCATTGCAGTGTTCAGCTGGACGTCAACAAGTCCCGAGTGGGTGACTACGTCTGCCCCATACCGGTGCCGCAGTACTCCCGGTGGTGCCGCAGTACTCGCGAACCACCGCGCTCCACTCGCATCTGCGGCTTGCGATGTTTACCGAGATAGAAATGCAACGCGGACACGAGACCACACGGGCCGCTGCGTGTTGTGAACGTGGCTTGCGCGCACGGCGCGATGTTGGCAGTGGGGAGCGTGCGGAGAGGGCGAGACGCGGTGTGCATCGCACGTGGACTTCTTGTCCATCACAATCGGCTGAGCTGAGACACAAAATGCGTTTTGACTTCCCAGGCAAAATATTCAGGGGGTGGGGGGGGGGGGGAATTATCCACTTTTAGAGGAGGAGGAAAGAAAAGACACTCAATATCCAACCTCTCCGGCGCACGTTAATAATTCCACAAAGGCACGTTATGACCCGAAGCCATCTGCTGACTTTTATTTTTTTACACAAAATGCACTTGACAAGGACATTATTGAAGCACGATACATGGAGTATGCATAAATAAATAACTCGCATACACTCAGATGTAAATATTCCCCCCCCCCAAAAAACACTTTGGGTTTGAGCAAATCGTCAGAATGATTACAACCCCCCGCCTTCGCTCTAGCTTGTTGAAGTTATTCACCAGTTTGTCATCATTAAGTGGGGGTTTTAAATAAATAAAAAGAATCGGACACTGTTAAAGAGCGGAAGAAATCCAGCGGCTAGACGGTGTTGCGTGGGATCCATGAGCATTTCATGGAAAGGCCCCGGGGGCTCAGGGAGCCAAACGAAGGCAAAACCCCGAAACCTGAAATCGAAAACACAAGGCGCGTTACCCGCTCGCATGGCGCACACGGCGACTACCGAGCGAGCCGCCATCGTCGTCGTCGTCGGGGTACAAACGCCGCACACACCTTGTCCGTGTTAGTTGTTGTTGTGTTGTGCGTGCGTGTGTGTCTGTGTGTGTTGTCTGTGTGCGCGTGTGTGTGCGTCTGTGTGTGTCTGAGTGTGCGTGTGTGTCTGCGTGCGTGTATGTCTATGTGTGCGTGCGTGTGTGTCTGTGCGCGTGTGTCTGTGTGTGCGTGTGTGCCCTTTTTTACGTTGGCAATTACATTAATTGTGCGCACTTTTATGGTGCCTTTTTATAACTTGAATTTTTAAGGGAGAAAAGGTGTTTCAAGGTCTCTTGGGAACATTCCCCTCCCCCTCCGGAGGAGGAAGACGCTTCCATTCAGGTGTGTGTGTCACAGTGTGTGTGTGTGTCACAGTGTGTGTGTGTCACAGTGTGGGTGTGTCACCGCAGTGTGTGTGTGTCACCACAGTGTGTGAGTGTGTCACCACAGTGTGTGTGTCACAGTGTGTGTGTGTCACAGTGTGTGTGTGTCACAGTGTGTGTGTCACAGTGTGTGTGTGTCACCGCAGTGTGTGTGTCACCGCAGTGTGTGTGTGTCACCACAGTGTGTCACCGCAGTGTGTGTTACTGTGTGCATTTGTGTCACAGTGTGTGTGTTACTGTGCGTGTTTGTGTGTGTGTCCTCTACAGATGGCAGCGGTAGTGTAGCGGTGAGCGCGCTGCGCTACGAACCCGGCGACCCGAGTTCAATTCTCGCTCACGTCCAACACCAGTGAGGATTATTTGAACCGGTCCTGGGCCTCCCCTCAGTCGACTCAGCCTAAAATGAGTACCTGGTGTGGAATAACATCGCCACTATGGAGACAAAGGCGGTCGGGCGTGGTTCTGGCCACCCACCCCCTCGTGTACCGATCTGGCCTTCACAGGTGCTCGCTAACAGCACTCGCCCCAACAGTCTGCTCAGGCTATAGGGGGAGCTTTGTCTTTGTATGTGGGAACACAGGTGGTGCATCTGCCAGTCATCTCAGTTAGTTAACTCAAGGCACCTGGGTCTGTCCCGTCATCTGTGGGCGAGCATTTGACACTTCACGTGGCCTCAAAGTGCACCTGGCCTGGCACAGGCTCCGTGGTGATGACGCCACCGCCACTAAGTGGCGAATGGCGAGTGTTGTTGTTTTTGTCATATATGCGGTGTGTGTGTACTTACTGCATGTGCATGATTGTGGTGCGTGTGTGTCTCATATGGAGTGACGGCCTGACTTAGTGGTTAGCACGCTGCACTTGTGAACCCGGTGACCCAAGTTGAATCCCCGGCCAGGTGTGTAAAGTGATTGTCTTTGAATGCGGGAAGGGGGAGTGCAGCGGCGAGCGCGCTGCGTTGCGAACCCCCCCCTCCCCCCCCGAGTTCAATTCCCGCTCACGGTCAACACCAGTGACGATTATCTGATCCGGTCCTGGGCGTCTCCTAGGTCGACTCAGCCTCAAATAAGTACCTGGTGCGGTGCGTAAACATTGCCACTGGGGAGACAAAAGCGACCGGGCATGTGCTGGCCCCCCACCCCCGTGCCGGACTTCATAGGTGCTCGCTAACAGCACTTGCCCCAACAGTATATTGAGGCAATAGGGGTATCTTTGTCTTTGTATGTGGGGAGCGGTGGCGCAGTGGTTTTGAACCCAGTGACCTGAGGTCGATTCCAGCTCATGGCCAACACCGGTGATGATTGTCTGAACGGGTCCTGGGCGTCCCCTAGGCCGACTCAACCTCAAATGTGTACCTGGTGCGATGATTCAAATATCGCTACTTAGGGAGACCCCTTCGTGTCCCGTACTGCCCTTCATAGGTGCTTGCTAAAGCACTTGCCCCAAAAGTATGTTAGGCCTGTACGGGGGATCTTTGTGCTTGTGTGTGTGTGTCAGAGAGAAGATTGGGCATGATTGTTGCCAAGACTCTCCGGAACTTCGTTTGAAGCGATCGGCCAAGCAAGAGTCTACGCAGCGTTACCCAGGCAATGAAGATAACGGTGGTCAAGTGAGTCGTGGTAGGGCCTCCACTGTCAAGCCAGGTACAGGAGCTCCAGCACTCTCTCCACAGCTGCCCCATTGCTCATACACCAGCTTGAAACATTCAGGATGGCCTGCCTATGATTCATCTTGTGGTTAACCCGGCTGGTTTGTGTGAGGATCTCATTGATCTCTGAAAGATCTGAAACACGGTCGAGTGAGTGAGCTCATCCGGCAGGCGAGGCTACAACGTCGGCTGGCTTACGCAGCTCGCATGCCCAGCCACCGCTGGCCCAAGCAGCTTTTGTTTGGCTGGATAGAGGAGGGCTAGAAGTCGTGAGTTGATGTGCTACCGGCGGATTTGGAGCTGATTGGAGTTACCGATGACAACGGTGTCAAGATTGGCCTCTGTGGAGGAGGCTCGTGAAGGACGCTACTGGGCAGTTGGAGGCTGTCACCCTCCAGCTTCGGAGGGCTGAGGAGCGACGCTCGCAATGATGAGCGGAGCGCCGGGCGGTTAAAGCGCGGCACGTTGGCACAGTGTGGAGCACAGGTGGTGCATCTGTCAGTCATCTCAGTCAGTCAACTCATAAAGACCCTCATGCCAGCCTTCAACACTTCACGTGACCTCAAATTGCACCTCGCTTGGCGAGTGGGTCTGTGTCTCCGTGTCGTATTGTGAGTTGGGTGTCTGGGCGTATGTGCTCGTAATCTTTGGTTCTTTCGCTAAAGTCACGTAGATAGAAAATAATAATAAAAAATAAAGTTAATTGAAAAAACACTAATATAGTGAACCGATAAAAAACTAAAATATAAACTACATCAATATAATCAATATACTCAATATAATCTCCAATAAGCTGAGCTACTAACCAATCCCCGCCCGCGGAGAGCTTGCACGGAGGCCCCGCCGCTGTGAAACGGACACGGCGGTGGTGGTGGTGGCGGTGGTGGCGGTGGTGGTGGTGGTGGTGATGGTGGTGGTGGTGGCGGTGGTGGTGGTGGTGGTGGCGGTGGTGGCGGTGGTGGCTGTGGCGGCGGTGGTGGTGGTGGTGGTGGTGGTGGCGGTGGTGGTGGTGGTGGTGGTGGCTGTGGCGGCGGTGGTGGTGGTGGCGGTGGTGGTGGTGGTGATGGTGGTGGTGGTGGCGGTGGTGGTGGTGGTGGTGGCGGTGGTGGCGGTGGTGGCGGCGGTGGTGGCGGTGGTGGTGGTGGTGGCGGTGGCGGTGGTGGCGGTGGTGGCGGTGGTGGTGCTGCGCGCTTCTCTTTAAACGTGTTTACAGGGCGGTCCGCGGAAGCAGGACCCTGCGGTTTCTTTTTGGCCAATGTCAACGTCTGTGGAAGCCATTATCATTTTTGTTTTGTTTTTCATATTATTATTATCGTGTTCCTTCCATGTAACCTCGCGCGATGCGTTGGATTTTTTGTTCTTTTGATTTTAGGACAATTACCACTGACGCACGTTTCTTCAGGTGATGTGGCATGGCTCGGGCAACCACACCATCCTGCAGCCCCCGAGGGCTAAATAAGTGGAAATAGGCCTTGACATATTGCGGTGGGAATTGTCTTTAAACACAAAAATATTACCAGATGACAAAACGTCCAAAAAATAGGGGGGGGGGGAGGGGTGGGCCCCCCAAAACGCAGCTTCAAAGCAGCGGCAACAACAACGACAAACATTTAAATGGGCAATTGTAATATGCGACTCAACAACCGAATACAAGAGCAATGAATTATCGCCAAAATAAATAAGTCGAGCAATTTGCGAAAGTTTAAACTTTGAGAGAGAAAGGGGAAGAAAAGAGGGGGAGGGGGTTGGGGGTTGGTTGTGCTCCAGCAGCATGTAATGTTCACGTAAATAAATATCGATGTGTTTCTTTTTCAAGGCACCGCGACTGCTGGTGGCGCACGTGCGCCGCGTCACCTGCTCGGGGTCCTCGCTCGGAGCTCGCGGGGCGCGCGGTCGTTGCTCTCAGTAAATAAATAAATAACGCTCGCCGGCAGAACCTGAAGCCGTCACACAGAACCTGAAGCCGTCACACAGAACCTGAAGCCGACACACAGAACCCGAAGCCGTCACACCAGCGTGTACACACACACACGCGCGCACGCTAGGGTAATGCGCTGCATATGGATCGTCCGTGCCCAGTAATTTCCCTAACTTTGTTTACGCTTAATGTTGCACCAGCCCCTCCCCCACCTTTTGAAATGTTTAAGTGTGGAAACTTTGGGTTTTCAGTCGGCGTAGGCACAAACGAGGCTTCGGACCGAGGCTAGATTTTCTGGCACGAACGTCTCCGTGCGTGCGTGCGTGCGTGCGTTGATGATTCCGCGTATGCCCTTCGGTTGAAAAATGTCTGCGATGTGCCCCACAGAGCCCCCCGCAATCCTCCCAGAGCTCTCATAAAATCCCCTGCCTACTTCCACTCGAATTGACAACTCGCGGCTCCCACCGCAAAGTAATGCCACGTTGTGTGCTGCCTCGGTTCAAACATTTCTCTCTTTTTTATCCGTTAACTCTTTCTCGGAACTTCTAAAATGGCAAATGATTTGTTTACCCGGCTGAGATTTACTGAGTCTCAAGAGGCATTTCGCAAGAGGGTCCTGCATCGTTATGTTTGGCAGTCATTCAGTTTGTAGATTTGTAAACATTTGTCAACCAATGCATTAGATCTGTCCGGCTGTTTGGAGGAGAAAACGATAATTGTCGTGAAGCTGATCCAGCCCAGAAGGCGGGATTTTGTCTCACTCCTGTACATGAACCGATCTCATTGCTCCAACTTGTCTCCTGGTTTTCATCCAGCAGTGGATTGACAAGGGCTGTTGATGATGATAATGATGATGACCCGATTACTGCGGCCAAGATGCTTGCAGTGATGTAAATGGTGTGTGCAGGCCCTTTTTGAAGTGGTAGGCCTCATGTGGCCATGGGTCATATCAAATGATGTCTCGGGCCGTGTGAAGTGACGTTACGGTCCCTGTGAAGTGACGTCACGAGTCGTGTGAAGTGACGTCACGGGTCGTGTGAAGTGACGTCACGGGCCGTGTGAAGTGACGTCACGGGTCATGCGAAGTGACGTCACGAGTCGTGTGAAGTGACGTCACGGGCCGTGCGAAGTGACGTCACGGGCCGTGTGAAGTGACGTCACGGGCCGTGTGAAGTGAAGTCATGGGCCCTGTGAAGTGACGTCACGGGTCATGTGAAGTGAAGTCACGGGTCATGTGAAGTGACGTCACGTGCCCTGTGAAGTGACGTCACGGGCCCTGTGAAGTGACGTCACGGGCTGTGTGAAGTGAAGTCGCTGGTCGTTTCTGGCCCGCGGGTCGGATAGGTTCCACGCCCTCATCACATAGCCGAGACAACTCCCCGTCCAGACAATTTCCTGAAGCGTCTCGTGTAATGGAATTGCAGAGGTATGCGGGACATCCAAAATGTATCGCAAGTTTCAAAGTAGCTGCCAATAGATCATCCTGCAACTCCACGCGAGAAATCCTAGTGCTGCGGCTGGCCCCGATGGACGCGTTCCAAGCGGTGAACGTGGCCAACGTCGTCCGAACTCGTTCCGTTCACTCGAGAGGCCTATGAAAATGTAGACGGCCTGTGGAGTGCCCAGCGCCCGGATAAGGATAGATGCTTTTTGGCTCAGGTGAGTCTGCGGTAATGAGTAATAATGAATTCACATTCCAGGCTACGCTTTATTGTATTTACGCTGTGTGCGCGTGCGTGTGTTCGCTTACACGCGTGTGTGTAATCCCAAGAATAAGGGAATTAAAATTACCCCGAGGAAGAAAAATACAATTGAGTTAGCATTTCATCTAATCATCTGGACCCAATTGGCTCAAATATACACTTAGAAGACTGCGTTTCAGTATTTTCATACTCCCTGTATATTTATGGCGGGGGGGGGGGGGGACATTGTAATAATAAAATAGGGAAAAGTATATTTACAACCCTTTCTTAATCCACTGCTAGATGAAGGCCTACCCATGCCGTGTCGGTCAGAGGGGTTGCTTGTCCACACGTCACCGTGTTGGTGAGTGCGGGCTGGTGAAGGAGGGGAGCGCTTTGCCCGAATCGGAGAGCCCTCGCCACCGTTGTGAGCCCTGGAAGGGACATTCTACTCGGGCCACCGACTGCAGAGCACAGTGCGCCAACCAGAGTGCGCCACCGCTACATCGACCAATATTATTAATAATGAAGGTTTTTGGGTCAGATCGCGTTATTTATAAATGTGTCGTAACCCTCCACCACCCGACACGGCCAAACAGTAAAAAATGTGTCACGTTTACAAAAAACAAATAGTTTACTACTTTAGCCCACCGGTGTGTTGAAGAGTGAATCAAGATCATGTTTTACTGGTTGGCCCTGTCGGGTGGTGGAGGGTTACGACACATTTATAAATAACGCGATGTAACCCAAAAACCTTCATTATGAATAATATTGGTCGCGAAAGCCGACGTGTTAAATTATCATTATTTTCAGTCCACGTGGCTTCATGTGGGAAGAAATTGGAGTCCCTCATAGACAGCCGAGCCACCACCTATATGAGCGAACGACACTCAAAGCGAACACTGCACAGACGGATTCAAGTATCCATTGGTATACTTCCATCTCATGGCCACCTCGCATCTCAGTAACCGATGCCCCCACTGCTCACGAGAGCAGGGAGACAGTTTGACACTTGAGACAACTGTTTTCATGACCTGTGTACACGCACGAAGCACACGAAGCACACGCAGCGCTTCGTGGGTGTACAGCTCGTCTGGTCACGAGGCCCAGTTGGTCCACACTCGGCTTCCAATCGGAAGCTTGTGGGTTCACATCCCGGCCAGAGGTTCAATCACCTATATCGCTTGAGGGTTGTAAAAATACATACAAAAACTGATTGTGTGGGATATGAAACTACGTGGTCATCATATGGATAGACGGGATGCTGTCATAGGAACGTGGAAGTGTTTTTTTTTGCATCAGGGCCAGCAAGAAAGACACTTTACAATGCAATGTGGATTTACATGGCGACTAAATGTGCCGGCACATCTCGACGCTTGTAGAGAAGCAGTGGTGGGGTGTTGTTATGTGGGGAGAGAGAGGGTGGGGGGGCAGTCACAGGCAGAAGAGAAGAGCAAAGGCCTTGAGCCTGGACTTGAGACTTGTGCAGGGAGTCGACAGCACGGACGGCTGTGGGGAAGGGGCCTCTGTGGAGGCAGCAGAGGAGAATGAGGGCCCCCAATCCGGGGCCGTGCCAGTCGTCCGAGGTTCTGCCAATAATGTTGCAGTATGCAGTATGTATGCAGTAGTATGCAGTATGCATGCAGTAGTATGCAGTATGTATGCAGCATATATGCAGTATGTATGCAGTAGTATGCATTATGTATGCAGTAGTATGCAGTATGTATGCAGTATGTATGCAGTAGTATGCAGTATGTATGCAGTAGTATGCAGTATGTATGCAGTAGTATGCAGTACAGTCCGTGTGCTCTTCGCACGTGGGTAGTTGCGTCCCTGAAGTATGCAGTATGTATGCAGTAGTATGCAGTATGTATGCAGTAGTATGCAGTATGTATGCAGTAGTATGCAGTATGTATGCAGTATGTATGCAGTAGTATGCAGTATGTAAGCAGTATGTATGCAGTAGTATGCAGTATGTAAGCAGTAGTATGCAGTAGTATGCAGTACAGTCCGTGTGCTCTTCGCACGAGGGTAGTTGCGTCCCTGAAGAGCACCGCGTTCTGGAGAAATCGCATTATAATAAACAATAACATCGGTTACTGCATGGACATAGTTTTATCCCTTTCCCCATACATTGCCCATTGTTAATCGGCCGTCGGGAAGAGAAATGATCGTGACCGTGCCTTTTGTGAGAGATGCCCTCTTAGAGTCATGAGCCTGGGGGCACCGCTTGGATGAGTTACCCCCCCACCCCTCACCCCCCCCACCCCCCACCGTTATTGTCCGTGGTTCAGAAGTGGACAGGATCCCAGATGACGAACGCCGCCGCGTCGCGCACAGGGACATTCCACTTTGCAGAACGCGACATCTCGGCGCAATGCGCCATTGTCTCAGCCCCCCTCCACTCCCCTCCCCCAACACGCGCACACAGCCGCTCCCGCAGCGAGCGGGGGACGTGGGTTTGAAACCGGAGAAGGCTTTGTGATGTTTCTTCTTCACCCCACCCCCCGCCCCCACCACCGCCCTATTTTTCCACGCACATATATATTTTTTGAATGTATCGT